TCTCTCTCTCTCTCTCTCTCTCTCTCTCTCTCTCTCTCTCTCTCTCTCTCTCTCTCTGTGTGTGTGTGTGTGTGTGTGTGTGTGGTTTGTTTGTTTTTCAAACAGTTTCTCTGCAGTTCTGGCTGTCCCAGAGCTCACTCTATAGACCACACTGGCTTTGAACTCAGAGATTTGCCTGTTTCTGCCTCTCAAGTGCTGGGATTAAATTCATGTACCACCATGTCTTGCTGTTTTTTAGTATAATTTAACCTCAACAAAGTTATTAAAAGTAAACAATCATGTACATAAATTTGAAAAGCATGTCCTCCCTAGAAAAAGGTGCGGGAAAAATCCACTACTCACTCAAGTCATGACATTTCTCTGTAGTTTTATGAACAGAATTAAGTTTCCCTTTTCAGCAAAATCTGGAAACCATGACCTTTTGTTCAAGATCATCTTTATAATATGTTGTGAATACAAAAAAAAAAAAAGGAAACTGTCTGGTTTACTTTTTAAGAAAAAAATAGACAAAAAGGAAAAAGGAAAGGGTAACGGGAGGGAAGAGGGAACAGGGAGGGAGGAGGGAGGAGGGAGGAAGGAAGAGGGAGGAGGGAGGAGGGAGGAGGGAGGGAGAGCTTGAGTGCAGAGCTTCCAAGGGTATTCCATGTCAAGGCCACAGGGGCGGTCTAGGTGGGTCAGAAGCCAACTGTGAAAGTTGTAAGCACGGAGCTACCCAGGTCTGCAAGTGCAGAGAGAGACTCACTGTTCAGCAAGGCTGATGACTCGTCCTTGGGTCCTCTCAAATTCCATATATAGGATCCCAAGGTGGAAAAACTATCTGTCGATAGCAGTTGCAGGGGGACCAGAGCCTTCTTCACTCTATCATGCTTCCATCTTGCACACTGAGCTACCCCAGCTTTGGTAAGGTGAGTGAAATGCACCAATCACTGCGACTGCTAGGAGCATACTCTGAGGATGGACAAGACGCAAATGGAGCTAGGGTGATCCAGTAGACAGTGAACACTCCCCCACAAAATGCCTCAAAATGCCTACTACATATGAGCTGGACAGCCTGTTCCCATAGTAGTCTTACCACGGGTAGGAAAGAGTAACTCTTGAGTATAGAAACAGAACTTGAGACTATGGCAGAAACAGCCAAGACAGCTCACACACCACTGTTCAGGCGGAGCTAGTGGTTGCCCCTCACTCTTCCTCTTCTTAGATACCCCAGAGTCTGAGCTAGTTCATCCTCGTGGCCAGTCAAACACACTCTCAAAGAGCAAGGGAGCTTCCTCTGAGGCTTTAGTAAAGGGAACTTGGAAAGGGGAAATTCCAGTCCCCTGCCGTTTTAGTAACCAGAGGCAACAAGAAGAGATCACTTGTATACACATGGACCCCATCCTTTGATTTTTAAGACAAAAGAAAAAGAATCTTCAGCAAGTAAGTAAATGCATTTGCTCTTTATCATACTGTGGGACACCATAATAAAACACGCTCTCTTCCTCTATATCGTTTATATATATATATATATATATATATATATATATATATATATATATATATATATATTTTTTTTTAAAGACAGGATCTCATATAAGCCAGGCTGGCCTCAAATTTGTGGTGTAACCCAGGATGATCTGGAACTTCTGATTCTCCTGGTCCCACCTCTCCAGTGCCACCACACTGTTTATACAACACTGGGAGAAGAACTCAGGGTTCCCTGCATGTTAGGCAAGCATTCTACCGACTAAGCCACATTCTCAGCCCCCAACTCCCCAATGTCACTGCTTTTTAAACATACATACAGTCGTAACTTGCCCTCAGAGCAGTCTCCTGTGGTCTCTTATTCTCAAGGCCATGGCATTCCAGCACTGTTAGAAAAACACCATTCTTTTGTGTTTCCTAGTTGCAAACATTTTTTGTAGGGTGAAGCTGAGGTTTTTTAATCAAGAAATGGCCGATGACAAAGTCTCTTCAAGCTAATTGGTTGGCTGTGGGATAGCATCAGGCCAGTTGTAGGCATGACGTATTTCATTTTCATTTCTCAATTTTGATACTTACTGGAAGAAGAAAAAAAAAATAAACAAGCCTTGTCACATAATACTTCATAGTCTAAATAAGTGGTGTTTGTAATGTGTCCGCTCTTTCCTCCCTTTTTACTGGTAGACTTCTGTTGATTGATATCCCTGTAGGACTTACTGAGTTTGAGATTCTTGATTTCCTGTTTTAAGATATAAAGAAATCATTTCCTAACTAAAACATTGCCTCGGACAAATATACTTTTACCAGTCACTCTGTGTTTCTACAATGTGTCCAGAATGGAATCTAAGCTTTCTTGATCTGGCTGCTAGTGAAGGTTCTCTGCTTTTTGCTGTTATATGTGAAATGGGGGGAGAGGGACTCATCTCACTGTGTTCTAATGTTAGCCACACCCCCCAAGCAGAGAATCCTTTCACCCAGCTGTGGCTGGTTCTCAGAACAGGCCTGGACAAGTCATCTCCCCTAGAGTTCTCTCCACCTTTGAGTTGCCCTCATGGCCACACCCTGATTCAGAGGCCACTCAGATGTGAAGAACTCTCACTCATCCTAGACAGAGCTACGGGGGAGTTTTTACTTCACAGCAAGAGACTCAACAGACTCTTACTAGTTTCTTTTTCAGATTGTGAAATTCAACCTTCAAAGACTCAAGAACCCTCTTCCATCTCTGTGGACCAATAAGATCATCTTTAGCATCTGCTTGGTGTATACCATCCAGGCTTCTTTACGGCCCTGTTTCTTGATTTTTGTGAGCCTAGGAGGTGCCTAAGCTCCCTTGGCTCTAGATTCCTGGCTTTCCCTATCTATCGGAAGCATCTGAAGCTATGGGTAGCAGTTACCAGCGGATGCAGGATACACCACTCCTCGGATTTCCGCGTCCCAGGTTCATCCATCTCTTTGTGCTGCTGCTTGGTCTTTTTCAAATGTCTTCAGGTAAGGAAAGAACTTTCAGGAACTTGGCTTAAGCTCACCGGGGTTTTGAGGAAGATGATGCTGTCTGTGCCGTATCTCTCGGTTCACTGTGTGACCCTCCCCTGTTCCCTTTGTGAACTGGAAGGCCCTTCAGAATGTCTCCAGAATACTTTAAAGCTGTGAAAGTTCTGGTCTGAAGAGGTTAAAGGACACATAGGGTCACACAGCAAGTCAGAAAGCAAGTTAAAGCAAGAATGTCAACTCTAGCATAGAGGTGGAGACATTGTCATTTTAACAACACATAAAACCAACGAGCAGCCTAGAGCTGTGGCCTCCTCCATCTCTATTAGATGCTCATTTACATCTTGTGTGCCAACAGCGTTTGGTCTGGGAGGCTGCTTTCCAAAGTTTGTTTCTATGGCACAACTTAACTAACATGACCTACCTCTAAGACAATGGTGATCTTTTCCTTTGGAGCTGGGTGGGAAATTGAGACACTTCTTAGTGTGAATTCTTTCTCTTAACATTTCTTCTTAAGTTTTGCTTTCTTTCAACACTGGCATCTAACAGCCCAGATTTCACACAAAAATTAGTCTTTAAGTAATTTCTAACTGGCTGTGTGTTTCAAGTGGTGTTCTTCAGAGAACGTTTTGTTCTCAATGCATTTCTGTTTCTATGAAGGTTGTCTTATGGAAGCTAGACTTTCAGCATTACTAAGAGGGCATGGAAACTCTGTGCAGGTCGTGTTGTATGTGCTTGGACCACCATGTCCTGCATAACTATTTTTTTAATAGGGTAACTGACATGTGTGACCTTTTTAAGGTTGGAAAATAAAAGATCTGCTTTCTAAGGGGTAACATATAAAGTGGCTTCTCACAAACCAGGAGGAAGCTGGATGATCACAGGGCAGGCAGAAAACAGACTCTCGGAAGCCCTGCTGTAAAGCAGCTCACTCAAAACCCCACCCTGAATATCTAAAAGTGTGAGAGGCAAGGAGAGGGCAGGGAGGAGGATGAAGGATGCATGGACCACTGGCTACAAGTAGTGGCAGTTTTAAATTTTCTGTCCCAGGTCGTGAAACTTAGTCACAGAACCCAGAGTACCATGACGAAGTCCCCTTTCACACATCAGGTTCTGGACACAGTGAAAATGTCCAATAATTACATAGTTACAATCTTTTTCTGGAAATTAGGGGAGCACTCCCAAATTCAAGTCTTCAGGAGAAAGCACATAAACCCAGAAATTGGGGTGGGAATGGATGGGTGGGTGCTGTGGAAAACTTTCAAAAGTGAGAGAAAAACTGGCAAAATTTAAACCAAGGCTCAGCAATTGTACCAGAAAAATTGGTCAGAATTAAGCAAAAGTGATACATTATTACCCATCAGGAAAGCACTATGTGCTATGGCTATGTCCAGTTCCTACTGCTCTGAGTAAAAAAAAAAAAAAAAAAAAAAAAAAAAATAGTTCGTGAACAGCTTAGCTTTGAATGTCTACCTACCTCAGAAGTTGGTTGAGCCTGAGACTCGTGTCCTCAAACAAGTTTTCATATGTAAGTCCTGGAACTAACCCCTCAAGAAATATGGACATGGGCCAGGTAGTAGTGTCGCACGCCTTTAATCCCAGCGTTTGGGAGGCAGAGGCAGGTGGATTTCTGAGCTCGAGGCCAGCCTGGTCTACAGAGTGAGTTCCAGGACAGCCAGGGCTATACAGAGAAACCCTGTCTCAAAAAACAAAAAAACAAAAAAACAAAAAAACAAAACAAAAACAAAAAAGCAAAACAAAACAAAAACAAAAAAAAGGAAATATGGACATAAGGAGATCCTGACTACCTACACTCAGGATCGTAGACAGGAGAGACCAGGGAAGCTGGAGAAGTAGACCTGACAGAGGCAGATAGCAATGGAGGATTCTGGGCAGGGTATCAAGTGACAAACGCCAGCACAAGTATCCTCTCTCCCAATTTTAGACAGGGTCTCATGTAGCCTTGGCTGGCTACTCTTACTCAGTAGGTAACAAAGGGTGACAATGACCTCTTGACCTTCCAGCCTCCACCTCCTAAGTACTAGGATTCCAGACATCTACCACCATGCCCAGTTTATGCAATAATAGAGATCAAACCCAAGGGCTTCGTGTGTTCTGGGCAAGCACTTTGCCAGTTGGGCTACATCGAAGCTGTGTGGCTTGTTCTTTTTAAGCATTGACTTCAACAAATAGCAAGTAGTTTCTGGGTACAAAGACATGTTTGTTGGTCCTGGGGATAAATTATGAGTTCTTTCCTTCATGTGATTTATAGTCACTGGAAGAAAGAAGATAAGCAATCTAGTAACCATAACATTAAATATGTGACTTTTACAGAGATGGGAACTTTGAAAAGAAGGCATTACTCAGAGGTGCTATTTTCAGTGGTGGCAGGATCAGGACCAGAAGGAAGCCAGGCCTAGGACAGGGGTTTTCAGGTCACCATTGGGAATCTGAATATTATTCAAATTGCACTGGGGGAGGGGTGGGAGGGTTTTAGAGGGAGGTGGGGGTGGCACTATCTATCTCAGCACTGTCTATACATTATGCGTACTCAACACCTGGGAGTTTTGTTAAAAGACAGTCTCCAACACAGGGGATTTTTTTTAGAGAAGTGAAATTATTTTGCATAATATTGTAACGATGTATCTATTACTCATAGATGTTTCAAACACGTATAAAGCACACCTCCCAGAGGGAAGGCTAAATCATGACTTTAGAAGATAATGATGTGTCAGTGAAGGTTCATGGACTGTAACAAATGTGTCACTGTGGCACGGGTTGCTGCTGAGGACAGAGGAAGCTTGAGGGCCAGGACAGGGTTGGTCTGTGGGAATCCTTCATGCTTGTCCACCCAATTCTGCTGGGAACCTAAAACTGCTCTGACAAATACTTTTGAAATATTGTATGTTTCAAAAGTTTTCGGAGTCAAGATCTCACTCTGTACTCCAGGCTGGCCTAGAATTCAGTCTTGCCTCAAACTCCCACCTCAGCCTCCAGAGTAGCAAGGCTTATGTATGTGAGCTACCATGTCCAGCTTAAAAACTTACATTTAGATGCTGCTTCTGCTTAGGTGGGTTTGGAATAGGGCTTGAGGTTCAGTATTTCTAGGAAGCATCCGGGTAATGCTGAGGCTGGAGAACTATGAGGTCTGTATGCAAAGTACATTTAAAGAAAAACAGGAAATGTGTTAGCACAGGACTGTACTCCCTGCTACTCTGGAGGTTGAGCAGGAGGGTCAAAACATCAAGGCCTCCTGGGTTATAGAGTGAACTCAAGGCTAGCACGGACCCTGCCTTAAAGTAAAAAGCATGGGCTGGAATATAGCCTGGTGGGTAGAGTACTCACCCAGCATACATGAGGCTCTGAGTTTCATCTCTAGTAAGGTATAAACGGGGCATGGTGGCCCATGCCTGTAATCTCAGCATTTTGGAGGTATAGGCAGGAAGATGAGAAATTCAGAGTCATTCTCTAGGACATAGCGAGTTTGAGACCAGCCTGAGCTACATGAGTTCTTGTCTTAGAAATAAAGAGAGGCACTGAAGATAGAACCCAATGATGAGTGCTTGCCTAGCATGCACCAGACTCTGTGTTCAATCCTCGGACTGAGAAACACACAAGTCTTTGGAGTTGCCGAAGCATGAGGACTGGATTGTAGAGCAGCCACAGTCATTGTCCAGATCTAACAGGAGACTGTTTCTGGAGCCAAATGTATAGGAGGATGTGATGGATCTGATGAAAGAAAGGTGTTGGAGGGAAGCCGATGGACTCAGGATGTACAGTATGAAGCTGGTGGGGACTGGGCAGGTTTGGGTGTGGATGTGAGTGGCCTGTGGTGCCTGGGGTCAAGATCAAATAAGGTCAAGTAAGGTCGTACAGGGCTGTTTTGGAGTTGGGGGATGTACTACACCTTCAATCTTGCTCTAGGTCAGGAAGCCACACCCTGGTGGCATGGTCCTCTCTCCCTACTACTCTCCAGCCATCAGCACCCAGGGCAAGTTGGCCTCTTTTCTTCACAAGATAGGACTCAGCTGTATCCTCTCCACCATCGGGTTTCAAACACAGTCTACTGAGGTAAAAACACAGGACCAAATTCCAGTAACTGGTGGCTAGGAGAAACCTTCAGAAAAACAAATGGGCAGTCTTTCCTTCAGGGCTGGGATCACTAAAGAATGGCTCAGCTCTCAGGGCTGGGAAAAAGCTTCCTGCAGAAGCCAGCTATTGGCGCATTAGGGACTCTGAGGTAGAGAAAAAGCAAATGTCCTCAAAATGTCACTAGTAACGACCTCTCCCCCATACACACACTGCTGTCCAAACAGAACCAGCCAACACATCTCATGAGTTATAACCTCTGGCATCATTACCCTGATAATAGTGGTCCAAATCTCTTAGCCTTCTTACAAACTTATAATTTAAGAGAAAAAAATGAAAAGATCTGATTTCTACAGAATATAAGGGCTGTATGTAAAGTGGAGAGAAACTCAGGGACCAAGACTGAAATCTTCCAACAGCTAGTATGCCAGCCCACATCTTCCCTGTGCTGCACCCTACACAGGCCTAACACCAGGCCCATGGTATTCATTTAATGGAAAACTTAGAAGCGCCCCATGATATCGCTTCCATAGAAAAGACTGTGTCCAAACACCAGCAGGCTCCCATACAGGTACTAACCAAAATGCTTAGCTCCCAAGGTCAGACGAGATTGGTCACATTTGGTGTGGTATGGCTGTAGACCATTAATATCTGCGAGTGTTATTAGGATGATGGGTAGTGCTTATGGTTTTTGTTGGTTTGTCCTCTTTTACTCTTTCCAAATTTAGTACAATTTTTTTCTAGTCTGGCAAAATGCTTGTTTAACAAGCGTGTTTGTGTGTGGTGCATCACATCTTTTGAGTTGTTTTGTTTTGTTTTCAGTGCTGTGGCTCAGACCCAGGGTTTGGCAAGTGCTCAGCCACCAGGTTAAAACCTCATCTGGTGGATTTAAGATGCTATGCCCAACTTGT